AAATTCGGAAACATGAAGCAAGCTATTCAAAATCTTGGAGCACAGAATCTCTGTTTTAGGGAAGTCAACTCCTGAACCATAACTTTGTGAACAAAATAGACGATGGTTGAATTTCATCAGCTGCACGTCTTTCAAGTGTTCATTTGCAGTCACCAAAACTAACCAATGATTTCTTATGTGTTCAGCAACTGAACCTTATTTGGTTCAGTAAGGAGCTCAGTAATTAAGAAAACCTTTATTTTCTTTTTTTGAGTTGGAGTCTCACTCTGTCGCCCAGACTGGAGTGCAGTGGCCGGGAGCGGCCACTGCAACCTCGACCTGCTGGGCTCCGGCGATCCTTCTGCCTCAGCCTTCCGAGTAGCCGGAATTACAGGCATGCGCTACCACGCCCGGCTGATTTTTTGATTTATTGTAGAGATGAGTTCTCGCTGCCCAGGCGGGTCTTGAACCCGCGGGCTCAGGTAATCCACTCACTTCAGCCTCCCAAGGCACGGGATTACAGGCTGAGCCACCAAGCCCTGCTTAAAAGCTGTTGTAAATGTTTTTAATAGTTTTAACTTACAGAGAGCAAAATTCACTTTTGGGGGGTCTACAATTCTCCACTTCTTCAATACCTGCAGAGACCCATGTAACCGCCACCACAGACACAATGCAGCCCAAGCCCATCTCTCGAAGACTCCTCCCATCTGTAGGCAGGCCCACCTCCTTCTCCCCCCCAGCAATCACCCATCTGTTCCCAATCTCCACACGTTTGCCTTTTCTGGGTTTTTTTTTTTTTTAATGAAATTTCGTTTGTTAAACACAATACTTTCATCATTATCGCTGGCCCTCCCTATCATTTCTGCCTGTGGAAAATAGTCACGTGGACAAGAGACATCATCAAGCCCCCAGAGCAGGTGCTCAGTCACTGGGCAACCACCAGAGAATTCTACAATGCTTCCCTCCCCCTTCTGACTTTGCCACCCACCCACATGGGTCCCAAGTTGATCCTCTTCCTGGCGGGTAACTGAAACTGCAGCCCATAAAACACCCACATCCCCAATGCTTGTGGTTCTGCAGAAGGAGGAGAGGATGGGGACGTATGTCTTGGGACTGGAAAAGCTGCCGAGGGAGACAGGAGCGCCGCGGCTACCCCCGTGCCCACCCACCAGGACACACGACAGGAAGAGATCTTTCACACCCACGATGCAGCAGGCCAAACCGAGGATGCCCGATGACTACCCCGTTTAAGGGGAGAGTCATTCCTTCCAAGCAAGACTGGCAGAGAGAGACATCACCGTGAGAACGCCTCCGACGGTGCTTCTTTTTGGGGTGTGGAGGCAGGAGGAGGGCGTGAGAATGGCGTGAGAACGCAAACCACATCTTCAGGAACAATGAATGTTCCCAAGGCAGCAAATGGGTCCCCTTTCACTCGAATGAGGACCCCACCAATCGATATGAACGGGAGCCCCAAGTGCAACCGCCCTGACTGTTCTATGACATCCAGGCAGCACAAACAAGTGACCCGGATGAACACTGTGGGCACTGGCACTGTGGAAACACAGGTTTGCTCTGGCCCTGTAGCCCCTGGTCCAGGGATGCTGGCTGCCTCAGGCTTCCTCTCCAGACTCAGTTTCTTCACCTGAAAATGGCACTGCAGGACAAGATGCATGAATCTAAAGGTGCCAACCACCACAGGCTGTGGAATTAAACCACGAGTGTGACTGGGCACAGGAGCCACTGTCCCTTCCTGAACCCTCAGCCTGGAGGCCTCCCAGTGCTGTTGAACACCTGTTTCTACCCAAGCTTCACAACTTGCTTCCCCTCCTCCACCTGATCTCTCCGTGCTCAATGTCCCAGAACCCTCACTCCTCCCCATGCTCTAGCCCTGACCCACGAGCTTGGCAAGCCATTGAGTGCGGCGAGCTACCAGGGCTGGACCGTTCTTTGCTGAGTGGGGCTGGCCGCCAACCACTACCGTCTCCCACCAAAGTCACAAGAACCGCTGCTCTAACCCAATCCCACTACATGTCAAGATGTCCAGGTCAGGTACGCTGGCTCAGGCCTGTAATCCCAGCACTCTTTGGGAGGCCGAGGCGAGAGGACTGCCTGAGCTCAGGAGTTCTAGACCAGCCTGGGCAACTTGGCAAGATCTCGTCTCTACAATAAATCAGAAAAGTAGCCGGGCAGGGTAGCGTACGCCTGTGGTTCAAGCTACTTGGAAGGCTGAGGTGGAAGGATCGCCTGAGTCCAGCAAGTCGAGGCTGCAGTGGCCATAAGTGTGCCACTGCACACCAGCTTGGGCAATAAAGTGAAACTACAACTCAAAAAAATAGTAATAATAATTTCCAGAATTACACTTCCAGGCCTGAGCCCAGGTACCCCAATTCCTGCTTCCAACCACCCTCTTAACTGCTCCACCAAGCGGCCTAACAGCATCTCAGACCTACAGAACATAATCTGAACACCTGAAGTCTGCTGCTTTCCCATACACAATCTCCCAGCACAGGCACTGACACAGCCTGGTCATGCTCTCCGGTGGGACCCAGTCTATACGCTGTAGGATGTCTCAGCAGCAGCTTCAGCCTCTACCCACTAGAGGCCAGGAGCATGTCATCTCCAGAGGTAACAACCAAAAATGTCTCCAGACATTGCCTGGGGGATGGGGAAGTATTTGAAAATGGCCCCAGAGGCCAAGTTCGGTGGCTCAGCCTGTAATCCCAGCACTTTGGGTGGCCGAGGCGAGTGGATTGCCTGAGCCCACGGGTTCGAGACCAGGTCGGGCAACTTGGCGAGACCTCGTCTCTACAGTAAATAAATAAATAAATAAAGCAATTAGCTGGGCATGGTAGTGCGCACCTGTAGTTCCGGCTACTTGGAAGGTTGAGGCGGAAGAATTGCTGGAACCCAGCAGGTGGATGCTGGGGGGGTCGTAAGTGTGCTACTACATACCAGCCTGGGTGATAGAGTGAGAATCCAACTCAAAAAAAAAAGAAAAGAAAAGAAAATGGCCCCAGATAAGAATGACTGACTGACATCAGCTATTCTCTACACAGCACCTAGCAGGGTCCTACTGAAACAAGGGAAGTCCATTCACATCCCCCTGCCCGTGGCTGGACCCCTCCCCGCCAGGGTCTGCAAGGCCCCATGCTGTCTCTGGCCGTGTCTCAGCCTTCTCCTCCCACCCACTGGGAGGCAGCCAACCTGGCCTCCTCGCTTCTCCCATAACACACCAAGTTCCCCCTACCCTGGGTCCTTTAAAAAAAGCAATCTCTTACTTCTAGAAAGTTCTTCCTCCTAATGTCAACATGGCTGGTTCCTCTTGTCATGGAAACCTCAACTCAAACAGCACCTCCTCAGAGAGGCCTTCCTGAAGCCCTCTGCCCGAGTGAAGTGCTACCTCTGTGTCCAGCGCACCTGCCTCTCCCCTTACCACATCGACACACTTCACCTTCCAGGTATCCAGCATGGTGTGAACCGTCTACCTTGTATTTCCTTCTATCCTTGTATTTCCTTTTCTATAACCCAGGCTCCTCAAGAGCAGGGTCCTCAGCTGACTCACCGAGAATAGTACACAGCCCAGAACAGAATCTGCTCAATAAAAACGCCAAGGCAAGATGTATGGAATCATCCATCGACAGCAACTTCACACTTGGTAGTTTAGCATTTCTGATGCCAAGTTTTGCTAAAGTCTTTGGCCTAAGGTAGTGTTTTGTTTTGTTTGACTTGGAGTCCCACTCCGTCACCCAGTCTGGAGTGCAGTGGCACGCTCACAGTCCACTGGGCCCAGGAGATCTTACCACCTCAGCCTTCCAAGTAGCCTGAACTCCAGGCACATGCTACCACGCCCGGCTAATAGTTTCCTGTTGTTGTTGTTGTTGTAGACAGGGACTCATCAAGTTGCCCATGCTGGTCTCAAACCTGCGGGCTCAGGCAACCCACTCACCTCGGCCTCCAAAAGTGCTGGGATTACAGGATGAGCCACTGAGCCCGGTCATGTAGTTTTTAAAACTAAGCTAACACAGTGGGTTAAAAATGAGAGCAATAGCTAGGCTTGGTGGCTCAGCCTGTAATCCCGTGCTTTGGGAGGTTGAGGTGAGTGGATCACCTGAGCCCGCAGGTTTGAGACCTGCCTGGGCAACTTGGTGAGACCTCATCTCTACAATAAATCAAAAAATTAGCCGGGCGTGGTAGCACGCGCCTGTAGTTCCAGCTACTTGGAAGGCTGAGGCGGAAGGATCGCCGGAGCCCAGCAGGTCGAGGCTGCGGTCTGGGCAACAGAGTAAGACTCCAACTCAAAAAAAAAAAAAAAATGATAGCAATAGTTGATGCTGTTGTTATTATTATTATTATCCAGGTGATGAAGGCTAGCATTTTTTTTTTTTAATTAAAAGAGGTCGGGCACAGTGGCTCATGCCTGAAATCCCAGCACATTGGGAAGCAGAGGGGAGAGGATTGCCTGAGACCAGCCTGGGTAACATGGTGAGACCACATCTCTACAAGAAATAAATTAGCCAGGCGTGATGATGTGTGCCTGGAGTTCCAGCTACTTAAAAGGCAGAGGCGGAAGGATCACCAAAGCCCAGTAGGTCGAGGCTGCAATGGCCATGAGGGTGCCACTGCCCTCCAGCCTGGGGGACAGAGACTCCGACTCAAAAAAAAAAATTAAAAGAAAGTTAAGAAACGTCAGAGTACACTGCATGTGGGAAGTGTCAATACTAGCTCATGACTCCCGTTTCTGTTCCATGTGTGCATTTACAGACGGAAGAACAGGGCTCCTAAGGTCAAGGGCAAGCGAAGTTGTAAACACTGGCCGGGAGCCCTCAGGACAGAACCACTCGGCAGGTCGACAGGCCCCAGGAGACCCCTGGCTTGCCTCTCTCATTTATCTTTTCTCACCTCCAACCACTGCACGGAAAAAAGCGGTTGCAGGCTTAGGAACCACATGCAAAAGAGGACGACACAACAGGCAAAGACACCCCCGGTGGCCACAGAAAGACGCTCTGACGGGCCCCACTGACCCAGGTTGAGGTTCAGGATGCTGCCGGTGGTGGCTGTTTTGTCCGTCTTCATCGTGATCGGAGTTGACGGTTGAGGAGAGAAAGGTTTCGGGCTGCCAGATAAACTCCCTGCTTGTCCAGTCTTGGTGGAAGCTGGGGAAGCTGAAAAAGCAGGTCATGGTTAACAGGCAGATTTACAAACAAGCAAACAGGCAAAACTTATAGATGTGGGGTCAGGAGAAAGCAGAGAAGTCATGAAATCTGATTTGAACCGGACAGGGCTGATGCAGCCTCCTGGGTGCGGTGGGGTGAGATAGGGCGGGGCGGAGAGAGCTGGCCAGTTATTTTGAGCAGAGAGCTTTAACCCAACATTAAACCCTTAAAGCCACAAAGGAAGAAGGCCTCCCGGCTATTCTATTAAACATAAAGCTCTAAGACAAATCGGCTAAGCTGCCGCTGAAATTGGTTTGGGCCAGTCACAGTATAAATCTCAAAATAAATGGCGATTAAAGCAGCCCCCACATGGTCCAGATGGGGAGACTGGGAGCCAGGCCTGCAAACACACGGCATCCGTTGGTGGCAAGACCGCGGCCAGCTCACGCCAGCCACTGCAGCTGCCAGGGACTGACCCACTCGGCCCCTGGGGAAATCTCCAGCTCCCATTTCAAAGGTTCTCAAGGCTACATGAAGCCAAACTCGGTACCAGATGGAATGAGGAGGACGTGGGTAAACCATCTCCCTCTTTATTGTGTTTTAAACTTTTACAAGAGGACAGAGTCGTGTAGCTATGCCCTAGGCTTTTAAAAAAGACCTTCAGCCAAGCTCGGTGGTTCAGCCTGTAATCCCGCACCTTGGGAGGCTGAGGTGAGTGGATTGCCCGAGCCCACGGGTTCAAGACCTGTCTGGGTAACTTGGCGAGACCTCATCTCTACAATAAATCAAAAATTAGCTGGGAGTGGTAGCGCGCACCTGTAGTACCAGCTACTTGGAAGGCTGAGGCGGAAGGATCGCCGGA